TATATACACTAAAATCAAAATTCCCTACTAGAGTAATTTATATTCTGGAAAAATAACACATCTAATTTTAACTCCCGACTCCGTTATTGTCTTATTGATTGACGGAGCCAAATTTTTTTGCCTTTGTCCTAGGTGAGATATGAGTATTTGGTCGCTGTACTAGAGAGTTTATTGTGACTCAAACCTTACCTTGCAAAGCTGCATGAAAGGATGGTCCGTCTTCCGGTCACCGAGCCCAATCTCCGGCACCGCTCCGCCGTCACCAACCGCCGCCATCAACGCATCCGCCTTATTCACCCCAACAAGAACCCCCGCCGGCCCCTTCACAAACCCCGTAGCCCGCCCTCTCACCGCCCCAACCTCCGTCCCCATCACCACATCCGCCCCCAAAAACTCCTTCAAGAACGGCTCCACCATGATCCTCGGGTTCGCCGTCAGCACCCACCGCCTCCCGCACGACGAGAACACCCGCCACGTGTCCGGGTGCAGGTCCCCCGAGTAGAACTTCGGCAGCACGGCCCGCGCCACCGACTCGATGTCCGCCACGCGGGCCCCGGCGAAGGCCGCAAAGATCAGCACCTGGATCCCGGCGGACTCGGAGATTAGGTAGTAGAGGGCGGCGGCGAATGGGGAGGCGAGGAGGAGGAAGAGGAGGCGGAGGACGCCGCCGACCTCGAAGGCGATGAGGGCGAAGTACGGGAAGGAGCTGCGGCCGCAGAGGAGGGTTCCGTCCATGTCGGCTACTACGGTGTCGTTCTCTCTGCCGATGGATGGGCAGTCCTCCACCGGCGGGAAGGTTTTTGATTTTGCCGCCATTTTTTTTTTTGGCTGTGGTGGGGTTCTGGTGGTGGAGAGAGAAGTGGCCGGTGAGAGTGTTGCCTTGTTGTGGAGGGTTTGGTTCAGTTGTTAAGGGGTATATATATATAACATTTGATCGTATTTAACAGTGTGGAAACAAACGGTACATAGGGAATAAAACATTTGATTTTTATCAAAATTAAGGCGATTGCCGATTAGTACGATTATATTATGTAATTGTTCGATGGAATTAATGAGTTTGTATAAAATATATTAGTTGGTGTTCCAGGACCATATATATAGTTTGATAATTTAGTTAAGTTTGGCACTCAGTCTACTTTTAACCTTATGATAGAAAACAACATTATCACAATTCTATGACGTTGGTTTCTAATACATTGTTGTTGATTCGGAGAAGAAGTGTATTTCGATCCCTGGCTTTAGAGGACGAAGATGTAAAGTTCGTAGACGGAATTTCAAGATTGTTAATAATGTGTCTCATCAAATTATCACGATGATAATTAATTAAGATCATGTACGCTTGATAAAGGCCTTGGCCCGGTTGTTTTCCTTCTTTTTGTCGTTAATACACTTTCTAGGTCAAGAATGCCACAACCTGTACACTTTAAGAACTCTTATACAAACCACATATATATGTGAAGTCAAAGACATAATTAACAAAATCAGACTACTGTAGGACTTGTTGTGCCATCAATTAGGTAGCCCAATCTGTCATTTAACGACTGAACAAATTAAAGGCGAACTAAAGGCAACTCCATAACTAAAACACCGAAAAATGTCCTTCCACGAGCATCACAAGCCATAAGTGATCATACACATAGCAAGTTCGACAACAAAGTTGAGCATCCTCTGTAACTTGGATTGGCCCGCCAATCTTGCCGGTGCCATTGCCATTGAACCAATCACTTTGCTTGTAATAAGGTGCTATTGAATACTGATGATACAATCCCCTTCCATTGTGCTATATACCAAACTTTTGAGCGTTGAAAGCGAAGGAATGTTCGTGGACTGAGAAACCTAGGGAACATTGGGGTTGGAGGGTCTTAAAAACTCTTAAATTCAATCTGTTGGAACAATGAACCGAAAAGGAAACAGAATCATGCTGCTCCTGTTCTTGAGGGGGACTTCGGTTGGCTTCGTCGATGCCAAATTCATGTGGCTTAGGTATTAACGATCTAATAGTTGGGCACTGTAGTGTAGGGTTTTGATACCTAATGACCATTCAATTTTGCCTTGTCTCGATCGGCAAACCACCAAAAATTGAGAACCTTATTACCGTACACTGTAGCTAGCGCCAATGAGATAACCTTTGGTTATTTGCTAAGAAGAAATGATCGTGTCAAATCATATGATGTTATCATCCGGCCATTGATGTGATAAACCCCCGCCATTCAGTGTATTGATGACAATCATCTCAAAATTTGACAATTGGATGTGTTTTTTTTAGACAATAAGGAAATGGTTATGCATTGCTTGTTTCAATTTATGGTAAAACGATGATACGTAGATATATTTTCCATGTTCCATCACTTACTGGAATTAGAAAGGTCCATTTTTATCATTTTTTTGTCAAAAGGAAAAATATTTGTACACTTGAAGTGCAATTTAATGTCCCAAACGGTCCATATTCTAGAAAATGTGCATTCAAACAATTAAATATAAACATATCACTCCCATTACATTTGTCATAATGTTAAACTCTATCCAAATCTCCATCCGATTGTCTAAACGACCATTGCGTGTTGGATTTGGTAGAATGGTGGTCAAATATAGAAGTCTTGCCCGTCAAACATTTGCTAAAATTCATTGTGTTTTTGCAACAAAGAAAGAGACCACTAATTACGAATTAAAAAAAAAATCCTTTTTGGACCCATCGCGCGATCACAATTATGTAATTTTTCGAATCTAAAATTCACCAAAATTTTGATTTTATCAAATATAACAAACAAAGTAGCACATTAAACAAGTCACCCCATTAGTCCACGCCTAACATTTGATAAACACACACTGTACTTTCACATCAAATGTTCAAAGCCAAATTACACACCTTAACGTACGGCTGACTTCAAGCCAGTAATACTCGGTCCAAACTAGTTAAAAGTACCCCGCCAGTTTCCGTTGAATTGGGCCAACAGAACTGTAGAAGTATGAATCACAGTCAGTTATAATCTAATCAATTAGGTATTAGTTTGAGTCTTGAGATGACAAAGGGATCCAATACAAGAAAGCATGTGGCGAAATCTGCTTCAAACCCGCCAATTCCCATCCTGTTCGTTAGGGGTGGGGACAGTTGCTGTGAAACCGAAACCGCACCGAATAAGTGCGATTTGCGGTTACCAAAAAACCGCTTAAAGGGGATTTATGCGGGTGCAGTTAGCTAAATTGGACAATTTGCGATTTGTAGACTGATCGCTAACCGCACAAAATAACAAATTAACCGCATAATTAACCGCGTATTATTTGCTATGACTATTTCTCCATGCACAGACAAAACCAATTTCGCTTCCCACACTTAATTTGTCATGAAATATCAAGTGAATTTCGTTAGTGTGAGTATCAATTGATCTAGTTTAGTCTCCATATGTATTTTTAACTTTGATGGATTATTTATGTCTTTTTATCTATAATATCTATCATAAAATCTGAACGAAATGACGCTAATCATGTCATAGACTATATGAACTTTGAAGATTTAGTCTAGTATATATGAGTAGACGGTTATTGTGGTTAGCCAAAACTAACCGCTAACCGCAATTTGACGTTAGTGGTTAACCGTTTGCGGTTGGTGATTTCCCCCTTTTGCGGTTGCGATTAACCGCATTATTCCGTGCGATTAACCAAAATCGCACCATTTTCCACCCGTACTATTTGTCCTCTATGTTTTATGGTTTGTTTGCCTACAAAGCCTTTTTGTTTCGTACCTAATTGTCCCTTCTTTCTAACATCCCGCATCCGTATAGAAAAAGCAAGGTTTAGGAAACCGTACCTGAAGTTATACCTGAAAGTGAGATGTATGATATTTATACTAATTGTTTAACCGTGATTGAACAGTTACCCACTGTTAAAATTGCTTATATTTTCTGGTATCTGATATTTCCGATCCGACCTACCTACCGGTATGATTTCTTAAACCCGGCAAAAAAGAAAATTAATCTGGGGTGTGGGGAGATCACATAAACAGATCGCGGACGTCTGGACCTTCTCATGGGCTACATTACTAAGTGAGCCCATCAGGAATCATTAAATAAAAGAATACGCTTCCAAGCTCAACAATGTCTGGCCCATAGCTCTTCCTCCTTTTGGGGGCCCAGATTTGAAAGTAAAGCCTCCCCTCCCCTGACGGCTCGGAGAAAGAAACCCTATGGTAGCACTAGGGTTTCTCCTTCCCTTCTTGCTTATATAAAATTTTCCTGGTTCCATCTAGTTCCCGCAGACTGCCGCGCTTCTCCTTTCTGTTTTTCCCCCAAGTATTTTATCGTGTTTCCTTCCGATCGCATGAGGCCTGAGCTACCGTTTTCGTGAATCGTGATACATTCCATTTTAATTCCTTTCTCGTTACCGGGTTTTCTTCTCCGTTCTCAATTGTTTTTCCGTTTGTGTTTTTGTTGTTGTTCTTGAGCGTTCAGGTGATGAGAAAAATACTGCAACAATATGATCGGAGAAATATCTCCGGTGATTACCGATGTATTTAAGTCTCTGATGATAGCCAACTTTTCAAGTCTGTTAGCAATTTTTTTTTTTTTGAATTTTTCATCCAGGCTTTTGATTTTGATGGTGGAGAGATGTGATGAAGAACAATTGGTCCGTGTTTCTGATTAAACCGTGACGGACATCCAATTTAATTTTACTCTTAGTCTGATCTCTTCACCATTTTCAGTCTTTTTCTCTCTGCGTTTGACTCGAAATGTTTGTTCTTCTCTCTGTTTTGTGAGCTCTGTGATTATCTGCCCCTTGTGGGCAATATATGCTATTCTGACAATTGCATGAGCAGAAATACTTTTCAAAGTTGTGATGAGAGCTATGCTTTTATCTGGCAATTATTTTTTGTGTTAATTTTGAAAGTTTTCTACTAGTGAGTATTTTACTTTATATTTGTTCTGCGTTGATGAGTATGAATCAAAATTAACACATGTCAGACTTCAGAGATTTTCCCAGAAAGTCAATGAGAAGAGACATTCATATTCTGAGCAGAGAAAATAAGTTGTTTTTTTTAACATTAGTCTGGATATTAGGGTTTGCTTCTGGTTCCAAATCTATCGAAGAACAGAGTCTTTTCAACGTCACTGGTAAGAGTTGGCTATCCCGAGTGACTTCTGGTTCATGAAGTCTTGACTGGGTATGTCAATTTAGTAGCTTTCAGGTTATGCAAGGGACATGGGGAGAATCTATCTCGAGTAGAGCCGGCAATCTTGATCCAATCCATTAGTCCAATCCAGTCCAATCCATTTAAATTGATCCAAATCCATTTAGTCCAAATCCATTTAATCCATGGATAAATGGATTGGATTCATGGATATCCACTAAATCACTAACCTATACCAAAAATCAAAACAAAACAGTCGGAGCCTGAGCCCTGAAGCAGTCGGAGCCGTGGTGGGCAGGGGCCAGGGAGTGATTCCGGCGAGCTGCTGTGCCCTCCCCTCCTCCCTCCCAAAACCGTCTCCCAACTCTGCATCCTCTCCAACCGATTCTACTCCGCCTGGAATTCCACCCCTTCTCTTTCCTTCCACCACTCCGATGCCGGCCGCGGCGGAGTCGGACAAGAGGAGGAGAAGCGAGAGCGATTCATCGACTACATCAGCTCCACCCTCGCCCGCCGCGCCCCTTCCTTCACCCTCGACGAATTCCGAATCCAAGCCCCCGCCCTCGCCCTCCCCTCCTCCCCCGCCTACCACGACGACCGCGTCGCCGCCTCTCTCCCCCTCTTGAACCCACCTCGTCAGTCGTCGCCTCCAAAAACCACTGCGACCTCGTCGCCTCTCTCACCCTCTCTCACCCACCTCGTCGCTTCCTATTCCAGACAACACCGTTCGCGCCGCCTCCTATCCAGACCCACCTCGTCGCCTCCTTCACGAAGGTCAGAAACTCGCCTTCCTCTCCATCATTTCTCGGCCAGCTCCATCAAGGAACGTTAATCACTCCATTCGCCCAAACCCACGAACTGAAATTTTGTTCGTTGCTTCTCCGCTCCGCCGTCTCAAAGGTTGAACAGGTACTTTCTAATCGAACCTCTTCCCCATTGTTTCACCATTGGAATTTCTGATTTTGTGAATTCTTGCAGACTTGCAGTGAACTTGCGTCGGCGCAGGGTTAGTTCAGTTCTCCCGCTTAATCTTAACTCTATATATAGGTATCAGTCGTCCTCTATCCCTAAAATTCATTCATTGTTCTGTTCCTTCGATTATCTTTCTCACAGCCTGAATTCTTCAGCTCTCTTTCGTTATTTGTTCTTTTGAATTACTGGGTATGTTTGTCTTCGTTGCCTCCTCTTTCGGCTGCAAGAGTAGATCTGAATTGGATCGATTTCTTGACAGCTTTGTTCTAGAGGCACAAATCGAAATCCTTCGGTTGGGAATTTTATGTCAGATTTGGCTCTTCTCCTTCTCTGATTTCCCTGTCTTTGGCACATTATTCATTGCTCATCTTCTCCATTTTTACCATCCCGCTGCTTGTATATACTTATTGGTTGCTTACTTGCTGCTGAGTTTGTGACCACGTATCTGGGCAACATGCTATTTCAGGATGTCTAGTCAACAAATGAATGTTATGGGAAATGATGATGGTGGTAGTTCTGGAGATGAGGCTCATTTTGCAGCAATGTCGACGTCTACGGTTCGAACAAGTGTTCAACGAAAGCGACAAAGAACTTCTAAGGCATGCGAGACATTTACTTTTATCCCTGGGAATCAGTTTGCAGATAATATATCAAGAGCACAGTGCAAAAACTGTCCCAAGCTTTATGTGGTTGGTAAAGGTATTTCTAATCTCACTCGTCATAGTTTTAAGTGTATTGGACGTGCAATTGAAGTGCCAGTGTCGAATGTTGGAAGCTCAAAAGCAATAGATCAAAATAGATTTAAGGAGCTAATGGCTATGGCTATCATAAAACATGGGTATGAATTTGCAATGGTTGAGCATGGTGGACTTCAGGATGTGATGGCCTACTTGAATGATGATTTTAAGTCATTTACTCGGAACACTGCTAAGTCACATTGTTTGAAGATTCATAAGAGGGAAAAGGAAAAATTGAAAACTATCTTGAGCAAGGTTCCTGGCAGGCTTTGTTTGACTTGTGACTTGTGGACTTCTTGTGCTACAGAAGGATACCTTTGTCTCACGGTTCATTATGTGGATTTTGAATGGAGGTTAAATACTAAGATCTTAAACTTCTGTCACATTCCCCCTCCACATAGTGCAATAGTTTTGTTTCTAGCTATATATGATTTGTTGAAAGAGTGGCAAATTGAGAAGAAAATTTTCTCAATTACATTGGATAATGCCAGATGCAATGATGTTATGCAAAGTTTGTTGATCGATAAATTGAAAGAAGATGATGCTTTGGTATGTGATGGAGAATATTTTCATATCCGTTGTGGAGCTCATATTCTAAACTTGATTGTGAATGAAGGGTTAAAACAAATTCGTGCTTTAATAGATGTAATTAGGGAGTGGGTGAAATATGTCAAAGGGTCTGAATCTCGAATGATTGTCTTTGAAGATTGTGCAAAAAGAAGTAATTGTTTGAGTTCTAAAGGATTGTGGTTAGATTGTCCGACTAGATGGAACTCGACATACATGATGCTTGAAAGAGCTGAGCTCTATCGTCGTGCTTTTCAGCATTTGAAGTTGGTTGATAGGAATTTTGATCGATTTTCGTCAGATGTGGAATGGGAGAAGATCAAGAAAATTAAGAAGATTTTGAAACCTTTTGATGATATCACTAACCTTTTTTCTGGAGTGCATTATCCTACTTCGAATTTGTACTTTTGCAATGTATGGAGGATTCAGATGCGGCTAATGGAGGCATCTAAAAGTATGGATAGTGATATTCGAAATATGGGTTTAGCAATGAAGCAGAAGTTTGATAAGTACTGGGACTCCTATAGTATGATCCTCTCCGTAGCAGTGGTTTTTGATCCACGGTACAAGATGGATTCTGTGAGGTTTTGCTATGAGAAGTTGTATGGGGACAATGATGTTGCTAAAGAAAAGTGTTGTGAGCTTCGAGGGAAGATATGTGATTTACTGAAGTTGTATGGTGATCCTACTGATCAATCTCAATCCCTTGCTGAGGATTTTGCTGAAGATGTTGACTATGGAGATGATATGGATGTAAGTAAACATGCTTCTCATTTTTTATGTTCTTTCAGCTGTGCTACTTGTGCTTGCCCTTGCTGAATGCAATTTTCCAGATGTCATATGAGATTGATTCCACAGTAATCAATCTTAGTGGTAGTGTTAGTCGTCTTAGTTGTTTTCTGATTGATTCCACAGTAATCCACGGTACAAGATGTAATGCTGAATGTTTTCTGATTGAGTTATGAACCCGATTGAGTATTGTTGATGATGAAAAGGTTCTTGTATAGCTGATTACCCTGTTCAAGTTAGATCACAGGCCCTGGAGTTTGTTCATCTATCTCCTAGAAGCTTACCATCCCCTGCAACTTGAGCAGGCATCTTAGCAAATCTGTCATGGTGACTTGGGTAGTCAAGTTTTTGTAATTTTGGTTAGTCCTTGTTTCAGAATATCTCATCTGATGTGTTTTTCATGTTAATCTCTACTTGTTTCTTAAGAGCACTGTGGCTTTTTGGGGCTGTAATTTGTCATGTTACTACTATTATGAGGGAATGAGAATAAGAAATGCTAGACTAGTTTCCTTGAGAGCATACATTACAAGCTAACAGAGGTTTTACTTCTGGTAAGAAAAGCTAATACAAACACAGGAAACTAAGAAGTACATAGAAACAGAGGTTTTCTGGCTTGCTTCAATCATCAGGATCCTCCTCTCTAACTGGTTAACTCTCCCTTTCCCCTTCTGGCCTTCTCCATTTCCCCACCTTATCATCCATCTCCTCCATCCCCCAAATGAAACAACCGCCGCCACCGCCACCCATTTCCCCGCCGCCGCAATGAACCACCGCCGGCCGCTTCACACCCTCCCCTTCCTCTTCAACAGCTTCACCCCCACCAACTCCTCCTCCAGCCTCTTCCTCTACGGATCCGCCGCCGTCGAATCTCGAGTCCTCACCCTCACCAACTCCACCACATTCACCATCGGCCGCGCTCTCTACCCGCAGAGAATCCGCACCAAAACCCCCAATTCCTCCTATGTCAACCCCTTCTCCACCTCCTTCATCTTCGCCATGGCGCCGTACAGAAACACCCTCCCGGGCCACGGATTGGTCTTCCTGTTCGTCCCCTTCGCCGGAATCGAGGGGGCTTCCTCTTCTCAGAACCTGGGCTTCCTCAATCGCACCATCGACAACGATCCCAGCACCCGCATCTTCGGCGTCGAGTTCGACGTCTTCGCCAACCAGGAGTTCAGCGACATCAACGACAATCACGTTGAGTGTGAGCTCGAGGAGGGTTGCGGGAGGGATTCTGCCAGCGCCGTTCGGCCCCAGATTCGGCCGCTTGTCCAGTTGGGAGGGACCTGGAGGCTGGAGGTGTCGCCGGCAGACTCTTGTCGCCGGCGATGACTGTTTCTCTCATCTGCGAAAATAAAATATCATGGAAAATATACAGTTTGGTACCTAAAATATTTATTATCAAGTTGCAGTATATAAAGTTTTCAAATTTGACATCTTGATTCAATGATTTAAATGTCATTTGGATTAATGGATAATCCATCAATCCACTTTATCCAATCCATGGATCCATTAATCCATTTGATCCAGTCCATTTGATCCATGGATCAAACAATCCAATCCACTTATCCATGAATCAATCCATTTGCCACCTCTAATCTCGAGTGGTGACTTTGGAAGAAGTGGTACAGCATTATCTGGATCAAGATCATCCCCGTAGCGTCGACAGTCATGGGTGAACAAAGTTCCCCTCATCGTCCCCTTAGTTGTCATTATAGATGGTGTATTGAATTAGTTGGATTCTGAAATGTCTGCTTCATTTTGATCAATGTGTATTGAATTAGTTCTATACATTCCATTGGCTTTGTAATTTTTCGGTGTTGAAAGAATAAAGTTAATCGATCGTATGATATTGTCTCAAACTCTCCAGTCTCCACTCTTCTATCAGTCCTCCCTTCAAAATCCTTCTGAAAGCTGTCCAATATCGCATATAAGCGAATGCCTTTCTTTGATATGATGTTCAAGCACGATCTGTCGTCTGTTTTCTTGTATCTTATGTTTGCATTTGCGCATGGCACTTTAACCTATCAAGTTTTACCTGGATCTCTTGTCTTCCTTGTAAGCTTATGTTTTTACCCAGTATTTCGATTTAGTAACTACTCGAACCCAAGTAAATTTTTTCTTTCCCCTGCTTACACCGTTGCAAAATTGGTCTCCTGAATCATGACAGCGCTGTGCCGTATTGTTCTTGAAGAAAGAAAGCTACCGCAGTACGAATGCCCGCAAACCATGTGTGCTTCCCTTTAACCCAAGCAAAACATAATCACAGAGTCTGTTGTTCTTTTCATCGAAGTCTACAACGACCCTAGTAGTAGTAGTTAACCTTAAACAAAGGCAGATGGCAGAACCTGAGTGGCTCCACGCCTCCAGCTTAACTAGGTTGGGGGATGATTTTCTTTGAAGGGAGGGTAACAGATCTTTCGAGTGAACTGCAATTCAGGACCCAAGCAATGCCCATAAACGGAAACTTTTACGGTCTAAATGATCATTTTGGGGGTGTATTTTAGAATACTTATATATAGTCTTCCTCTGTTCTATGTTTCTTCCTCCACATTGCCCCTCAAAAATGAAGCAGCTGCAGCAGATTGGAGTCCTTGTCTCCTTCATATTCTACATCCAATTGCACCTCCTTGGTAACTGATTGTGCTGGACAGTTTGTATCTTTATAATTGTGTTGATGCATTTATTCACTTGCTAGCTAATATTAGTTTCGTTCTAACTAAATTGGTCATTAATCGACAGGCGTAGCATTGGGAAACCAAGTCACATTTTATGTACACAACAAATGCCCCTTCCCAATCTGGCCAGCCACAGCCTCCAACACCGGTCACCCAATCATCGCCGACGGCGGATTCTACCTCCCGTCCGGTTCAACCCAACGCATAATCGCCCCGTGGGACTGGTCGGGCCGAATCTGGGCTCGAACCGGTTGCAACTTCCACCCCACACCCACCACCTCCAAGAATCGGACCAATTGGCAACCCGCCTGCGAAACAGGGGACTGCGACGGCCGGCTCCAGTGCAACGGCCTGATCGGAACCCCTCCGGCGACCCTCGTCGAAATCACCCTCCAAGGCTACAAGGCCAGCCCGAATTACTACGACGTCAGCCTCGTCGACGGCTACAATCTACCCGTCGCCGTCATGAGCAAACCCATCTCCTCCAAGTGCTCGATCGGCGGGTGCGTCAGGAACCTGAACGATTGCTGCCCGCCGGAGCTCCAGGTGCTGAGCCGGGATGGGTCGGGTCGGGTCGTGGCCTGCAAGAGCGCTTGCACGGCGTTCAACAACGACGCGTTCTGCTGCCGGAATGAGTACGGCACGCCGGCCAAGTGCCGGCCGAGCGTCTACTCGAGGCTTTTCAAGGATGTTTGTCCGAGTTATTACAGCTACGCGTTTGATTCGCCGCCGCCGCTGGTGAAATGTGACGCCAAGGAGTATGTGGTCACGTTTTGCCCTGCGTCGTGGGGCAGCGACGAGCTGCAAGAGATGTGAGATTATCTGTGGGAATGGGAAATAAGGGCAGAGTATGATTTGTGAAAGGCAAATTGCTGTATATATGGTAAAAAATGCATATAATATACTTGAGATTGGGGGTTTAAATAAGGCTTTGTAGTGGAATTATGTCAACAAGGATATTGGAGATGGTGGGGGTAATATGTAGATCACAATGTGCAACACCAAGCTACCTTCTTATAATTATTCTACTGGTAAATTAACTAAATTCAATATATTATTTTTTAAATTTGAGTTAATACCTAATGGAATAGGTATTTGTAGTATTCGGACTAATCGGATTGGGTAATGCATGAAACATAATGAATTTTATTAAGTATGGATAAACTCGAACTCGAATATAGCAGGTGATGAATGGGCATGGTTTTCTCACTATCCTATTCGAACCCACCTGATTATACAATGCATATATATTTTATTTGGGCATGATCATTATTTTCTAAACATATTTAATATTTATCATAAATATATAATGTTTGCATGAAATTGTATTGTTTTTAACTCATTTTCTTCGTCCTAGTTATTTACCATTGTAATTTTCATTTGTGTAATGTCGATGTATGTTTAATTGTTAACATGTTGGTTGAAGTTATAAAGAGAAATTATTATTTCCGAATAACCGTGGATACCAAAAACTCGACTGAATAGGAGTATTGTTTCGATATTCTGACTGATTCTTATATGAGTATGAGTAAAATTCAAACTATTTTAAACAGAGTAACGAATATGCATTATCCAATACCAATCCGACTCAGTTGCCATCTCTAATAGTCGTGACATGCGGATCATGAATACTACTTTCGCTCCACTTTCATTCTGGACTAGTTTTGAGGTGATTTGCTTTAATATCTACCGTATGAGGAATTCTGTGGTGCCGCCACGGTACCAGTGCCGTCATATGATTCTGGCCGGTTCAAATAGGTTTGCAATGGTTGAAGTGGTCTGGCGGGTTATCATTTGGGTGGGTCAGATTTAATTATTAAATTAATGAGAAATTTAAAAAATAAAACAAAATCAACGGAAAAGCCCCATCGTCTCTTCCGTTCCTCCTTCTCACTCCCTTTCTTTTTTCTTGGTCCCGTGAAGTGCCAAGGAAGACCAAATTCGCACCAGCAAGCAATCCCACCAAAAAATTGCACTAGGTACGATCATCGCTATCAATATCTCGAACCCACAGTCAGCGGAAATCACCACCGTCATGAATCCGATTGTCGCCGCCTGTTCATCTCCACCAACATCTGTGTCGACGTCGCGGCAATCCAGCACCAACATCGATGTTGCCTCCGATCGATCATGACTAATCAGATCCAGAAAACAGCCATTCAAAATCACGACCGTCATCAGCCCCGAAATCCCGACACCCTCGAAATCGCCATAGTCGTCAAGACTCCTCCCCTCTCGTTTTAACCACCGCCGATTCAATTTCCCCATCCATGGCTACACAATTCCTGAACCACCTTCCGTCCGTCATCAAAATCGTCTGGCTGCCCTGTCATTCCCAACAACGTCCCTACCGTGACAATCGATCTGTTGCCGCTGTTCAGCCTTCAGCACGAAGATCGGCGACTCACTC